AGCTAGTGTGGAAAAGAGGATTAAGCCGGAAGGAGACTGTTCTGTCGTAGGAAAGAACTCGTGTTGGAAAGGTACGACGAATCACTCTTAAAAGTTGCATTTCTGCATTGAGCTGCAAACCTCTTATAGAAACTGCTTTTTGGTTTCTGCACTCGCACAACAGGTCCGCTGCAAAGAATAGTGCCTCCGTAAAGTCCAAGGTAGTTCAATCAACCTCCCAGAAGGTAAACAGGCATCGATTTTGTCCAAATATCGTACTTCATAATATATCTATTGGGATAAACTTTGAAGGACATTCTAAGTGTTGGTTTATTACAGTACATTTTATTTACTTTTGTAGCGACACCCAGAACCGAAAAAGAGACGTGATGATGTCTGTCAGAGTTGCGCCTGTCTCATACAGGGTTCGTCCGCGTCAGAAGTCCTGCGCAGCCGATTGACCTGCTCATAACATTTATTAAACGTTTATTACTCAATGAATAGCATAGGAAATAAGAAGAACAGTTTTTACAATTGGTGTACTGATGAAGCGCTTGTAGTGAGATGTGAGATAAAATTAAAATTAATTAAAAAGAGTGAGGAGTGATGTGGGAGGGAAGAGAACGAAACGAAGGTGAAAGAAAGATAATTAAAATAAAATCAAAATAGAACAAAATGGAAATTAAGGGTGGGAAAAAGAGTAAGGAGGTGGTGAGATGTGTGAGGAAGAGAGTCAGGTAAGGGGAAGAGGAGGTGATAAGGGTTTGTAGCTGGGGTATCCGCCGGAGGGTCATGGTTGAGAATGTCTATGCGCCATCCCTCCATCAAGGTTATATCTCCGTCCCAGTCTTCTTCTATGATCGGCTGTCGCTTACTGCGGGTTAGTTCTTAGTCCACGCCATCCTCCTAATGGCCAGGGACGGTATGCAAAAAGTAGATTTCGGAAGAGACTTGAAGGATGTCCGCGATGGTAAGTTTACGCAGGAGACCTGCGCACCGGCGCAAGACTCCTAAGAGCTGGAACACACTGTCGTTTTTTGTCTCCCATGCGCCCATAGCACCAAAAATGACCGCTTGGGTGGTGATCCCAAGCCCTATTGAGGTAGGATGACGGCTTTGCGTCCGTAGTGATCAATCTTTTGCAGCCTAGCCGCATCGAATGCCTCCCTCCCATTTTCGAACCAGATGGCCACGTCGACTATGATCACTGTTCTGCCCACCCTATCGATTACCACTATATCTGGGATATTCCGAGAGCCAATTATCTGGGGCGCGAGGTTCAGTCGCAACTCCTTTCTAGCCTCCACCGGATGACCTTATGTACTAGGTTGAGCAGTTTATTGTTACCGTCTGTGTTCATCGTGCTTTGTGCTTGGAAGCAGTGGTAGAGAATGAGAAACAGGGACTTTTGATGATAACCGCACTTGCGACAGTGAGGCACATCAAC